GAAGTAATCTTGTAATTTGCAGATTTTTAATACTTCCTATAACTTTTGTGATATTACACTGTGTTAGTACAGTTTTGGTAATATTATTATATTTAAAATATTTTTTCTTAAAAGATTAATGTTTATTGCATGTAATATTATTATACTTAAAATCATTTTTCTTGAAATATTAGTGTTTATTGCATGTAAAAAAATAAAATACAAAATAAAAGAAAGTCATTTCAATAAATGGTGTTGGGAAATGGTGCTTCATAGATTCATGCAAAAAACTGAAACTAACCACCAACTTACACCATACACAAGAATAAACTAAAAATGGATAAAAGACTTAAGTATAACTTGTAAAACCTTAAAAATGCTAGATGAAACCACAGGCAGCAAATTCTCAGACATCTCTTGCAGCATTATGATTACAGATACATCTCCCAGGGCAAAGGAAACTAAGGAGAAAATAAACAAATGGGACTACATCAAAATACAAGCTTCTGCACAGCAAAAGAAACCATCAACAAAGAGAAAAGAGAGCCCACTGCATGGGAGAACATATTTGGCAATAATACATTTGATAAAGGGTTAATATCCAAAATATATAAGGAACTCATAAATCTCAACAGAAGAAAAATAAACAATCCAATTAAAAAATGGGCAAAGGACCTAAATAGACACATCTTGAAAGAGGACATACAGATGGCCAAGAGATATATGAAAAAATGCTCAGTGTCCCTGTCCCTAACCATCATCATCAAGATGCAAATTAAAATAACAAGGAGGTATCATCTCACACCTGTCAGAATGGTTACCATCAACAAATCAACAAATGACAAGAGCTGGTGAGGATGTGGAGGAAAGGGAACCCTGGTATACGGCTAATGGGAATGCAGACTGGTGCAGCCATTATGAAAAACAGTATGGAGTTTCCTCAAAAAATTAAATATGGATCTGCCACTTGACCCAGTGATCCCACTTCTAGGAATATAACCTAAGAAACCTGAAGCACCAATCAGAAAGGATGTGTGCACCCCATATGTTTATAGCAGCACAATTTACAACAACTAAGATCTGGAAACAGCCCAAGTGCCCATCAGCAGATGAGTGGATAAAAAGCTGTGGGACATTTACACCATGGAATACTATGCAGCAGTAAAAAAGAAGGATCTCTTACCCTTTGCGACAGCATGGAGGGACCTGAAGAGTAACATGCTAAGTGAAATAAATTAGTGAGAGAAAGACAAGTATCACATGATCACACTCATATGTGGAAACTAAATAACAAAATAAATTGATAAACGGTGTAGATCCAGAGACATGGAAGCATGGAACAGAGTGTGAAGTCTCAGAGAAAAGGTGAGGGAGGGTTGGTGGTTGGGAGGTAATCAACCAAGGACCTTGTATGCATATATGCATGACCCATGGACACAGATAATGTGGCAGTGAGGTCCTAGGGCGGGGGAGCAGTTTGGGTTGGAGGGGGTCAATGGGGGAAAAAGAGGGGCATATGTAATACTTTCTACAATAAAGAATTATCTATATATATAAAAGGCTAATATGCAAAGTGTCCCCTCAGGAGTTCGACCAGGAGATTGGGAGTTCGATCACTGACTATGACATGCACTGACCACAAGGCACAGAATGAAGGAAGGCCCTCGCTGGCAGCTGAAAGGCCCTGATCGGCCCTCATCAACGGCCAGGCCTAGGGACCTACCCATGCATGAATTTTGGGCACCGGGACTCTAGTCTATATATATAAAAGCCCAGCGACCAAATGGCAGAATGACCAGAACGACCAGTTGACCAGTCGCTGTGATGCGCACGGACCACCAGGGAGCAGATTCTCAACACAGGAGCTGCCCCCTGGTGGTCAGTGCTGTGGGAGCACAGCTGGGCTGACCAGGATGAGCGGCGTTCCCACAAATGGTGGATCCTCACAGGTCACGCCTCCTCCACCAGTGCATGAATCCGTGCACCAGGCCTCTAGTAAAAAAATAATTTTAAAAAATCAATGAATATTTATAATAATTGGCCTCTGCACCTTTAATTGTGGCACAAATTGTTACTTTTATAAAAATACGTTGTTTTGTGAACTCATGGACATGTACAACAGTGTGATGATTACAGAGTAGAGGGGGATGGGCAGAAGTAGAAGAGCACATTTATACTAATAAAAGGGTGATATGCTAATTAGACCGGGTCAACCAGCCATCTTCTGAATGTCCGACTTCCTTCCAGACAAAGCCATGGTGGTGGAGGCCGAGGCAGAGGCAGTTAGGGGCGAGATCAGACTGGCAGGGGAGAGCAGTTAGGGGCAAGATCAGGCTGGCAGGGGGTTAGGGACAATCAGGCTGGCAGGGGAGGGCAGTTGGGGGAGACCAGGCCAGCAGGGGAGGGCCGTTGGGGGCGACCAGGCCAGCAGGGGAGGGCCGTTGGGGGCGACCAGGCCAGCAGGGGAGGGCCGTTGGGGGCATTAGGCAGGCAGGCAGGTGAGTGGTTAGGAGGCAATGGTCCTGGATTGCGAGAGGGATCCCAGATTGGAGAGAGTGCAGGCTGGGCTGAGGTACACCCCCCTCCCGTGCACAAATTTCATGCACTGGGCCTCTAGAGTAGAGGGGATAAATGGTGATGGAAATTTTTAAATTAAATTAAAATATATGTGTGTGTTTTTTGCATTTAACAAGAGATATAAAATTCAGCTCAAAATTTTAAAACTAGTGATTCCTTGTAATAAAAAATTTAGGTGTAATTCTTCATAATTTGACTTTCTGAAGATCCTAGAATTTAAATTTTAAAATGGCCCTACCTATAAAAGTTAGGTTTGGTACCAGATCAAAGGATAATGGCAATGAAAATGTTTTAAGAGAAGGGATGGACTATAAGGAAGGGAAGGGACCCTTACACATCTGAGTGACTGGAGTGGCCCCATGGCAACCCCCTGAACTGGTGGGCAGACAGGGGTACCTCCAAGGCCACTCTCTGAGGGAAGAGGACCCCACCCCCCTCTGCCACCTATCCATCCACCCCGTCATCACCACCACCGCATATGGAACCCATGGGGCCCTGCAGGACTTCCCCTTGGGGTCACAGGTCATGACTCCTGACCACTGGCATCCTGGAAGGAACAGCAGACCCTTTCCTCTTTTCTTCTGTATATTCTAAACTAACATTATATAGTGTGGTAGTCAAGTAGTCTGTCTACCTGAATTTGAAGGTCATTTTCCCCACTTACTAGCCCTGTCTCTGGCCTCTCTAGGCCTCCATTTACTCATTGGTACAGTGGCAGTTATTGCTGAGTCCATCTCATTGGGCAGATTGGCACATAGTAGGTGATTTTTATTCCCTCCTATAAATTCTCACAAAGGTGCTGCCAGTTTTGACTAGCAATGAGGGGGGTCTTGGGATATCATTTTCTTGGTATAACTGCTCTGTGGCCTAGGGCTTTGTTTTCTAATTTTGGTGGATATGTGGCTAGTGCTGTGGCAATTTTATGTAGACTATCCAGAGAAGGTTCTGGAATTTCTACATAGACAGGTGGCCATCTTGAAAGAGAAGCTACAGGATTGGTGTTGAACCTATGTTTTCTGTTGGCACAGCCTTTTCCTTGGGTGGGTGTTTGTGGAGTGGGCTGGACTCGTGCTTACACTTGATAGCTGGCTCCGGGTTTTAATTAGTTGTGTTTATTTGGAGTGCTTTGTGGGACTATGGGAATTTGTGGACAGGTCTGGCTTGTTGTTTCATACCTTAGTTTACACAGCAAGCACACAATTTTTATGTGGACTGAATATTTCATAGGAAGCTTTGAGAAGGTTTATGGAAATGGTATATTTGGTACTTTTTGTGCCCTCCTTGGGGTTCATTTTGCTTGATATTTAATTTGGTTGGGTTTAATTTGATTTGGGAAACAGAAAGTGGGTTTTTGGCGTGAATTGCAGAATTAACTTGGTTAATGTTTCATTAGGCCAGTTTCAGAAATGTGTTAACAGTTGATGGTTGACGCTGGGGGGCAGTTTCAGGTGCAATGCTTGATGCTGTGGCTCCCACCCACCTGGGAAGTCACGCAATGGGTGACCACATGCTTAAGGGATGATCCTGGGGATGAAGTACTAGGGAACCCAAGTGGACCTCAGGTCCAAGCACCAACCCACCATGGCTTCAGGGGGCCCATGAGTGTGGACAACCACCCCCTCCCAACAATGGCGCAAGTTTTATTTGCATTTCATTTATGACTGTGGTTCCATATTTACCCCTATGTTATTGATATTTTTTTAAGCAAATTGCTTGTTCATATACTTTGCCCATTTTTGTGATGGATTTGCTTATTAATTCTTAAGAGCTTTTTGCTTATTAGGGAGATTAACCCTTTGTTACGGATTTTTATCCATTCATATTTTATTATATGTGATTTTAATTTTTGTAGGCTCCTCCTTCCCCCTTCTCCCTTCTCCCTCCCCCACTTAGGGCTTTTGGATCTTAGGCCATGTTTAGAGTTATAATCTAGAAACCAAGATTTTAATTGTAAAAATAGCCATTTTGAAGTATCTTTTTATATTTAAACATGTAACTCATTCATTTGTGTATGGAATGAGGTAGAGATCCAGCTTAAAGTTTTCCCCAATGGCTAGCTAGTTGATTTAATACCAAACCTACTTATTTGATAGCTCTTGGTACCACCTGTTTTGGGGAGATTCTGGATCAACAGATACACTGGAGTGTAAGTTAGTAGAACCTTTGGATAGGGCAGCAAAGATCAAAGTGTAGAATTATTGATGGGCCTAATGGTTTTTATCGGGCATGGGTTTGGGAGGAGGATGGGGTGGATGTTTTGTATTTTCTGCAAATTGCCTTCAGAAACCCAAAGATTAGGTTAAGAAAGTGGCAAAATTTTATACCCACTTATAACCTTGGGGCCTTGTCACCTCAATGTGGCGCCTCCCAACTTTTCATCACCCCCAACGCTATGAACAACGGCGTTTGCTCGAAACCGCAAATAAGTCAAAGGAGTCCCGAACTGCTATTTTTAAATTTTTATTGATTTTTTAATGCTGCACAAGACAATATTTAATTCATTTAATTCATTTATTTCTTTTATTTCTGTTTGCTGCTGTTAATTTTAGTTACTTAAAGAGAGAGGGAACCATTTTGGCCTTTTTTTCTTTTTCTTTATCTGAAGGCCGCCTTAAGCTTTCTAAATTTGGAATATTTAAGCAAGCTGAAAGGGAAAAGGGGGTTTTGCAAAATCACTCAAGGGGGAAAGGAAAGGTTGCTTTGTTAATCATGCCCTATGGTGGGTGATTAACTGCGTGTACAATTACATTTCATTTTTAATTAATTGTGCTTAAGGCTTTAATTAAATTTGGGGGTTCCCTTCTTAGAGCAGCTCATACTGACGGAGGTGCATGCGCTGGATGATGTCGCGGCAGTCGTTGAACACACGGCGGATGTTCTCGGTGTCCACAGCGCAGGTGAAGTGGGGGTAGCAGTAGTGGCGCCCATCTCCACTGGCAGTGCTGATTCTCTGTGGCACAGACAGGGACACTCGGTTAGCACCCCCTCTGCACAAACTCACCCCCGCCACTCCCCCAAGGATCCTTGACCAGCTACTAACATTAATTAAAACAAAACCAAGTCAAGGGGCACAAAAGCTAAAATTCACAGGGCAACCCATGAAATGAAACGGAAGTACTGGATAGTTTAATCCCCACGTGTAGAATTAAGTTAATTTCCATCCCTAAGAATAAAAGCAATCAAAGAGAGAAGTAAAGACAGTCTACTCACCAGAAACTCATCGCGGATGAAGTACTTGGCCCGGGTCACGCGTGGGTCCTCTCCAGGCTCAGGAGTCGCTAGGAAGAATATAAATATTTTGTTAGCATATACATGATTGTATATAGAAACGAATATGCCAATGAACTGCAGAGGGCCACGTACCATCCTCAGGAGTAGTGTAGCGAGCAAATTCTGGAAAGTAGTCCTCAATTTTCGATTTTCCAGCAAGGACTTTCTCAGCGAGCAGGTCTTGCTTGTTGAGGAACAGAATCACAGAGATGGTGCGCAGCCATCTGACAAAGAGGGAAGCAGGGTTAAAGCCCAGTAGAAGAGCATCTCTCTTTCAGGGGCTTGAGATGCTCTCCCAAGGACTTGGACAAGATTCTGCTCTAACGCAAGGGCTGGACGTCAGTCCCAGCTTCCTGGGCAAGTGGCCGGGAGGGAACCTGAGGGCTGCTCCACCCACCTGTTGTTCCAGATGCTCTTGAAGAGGTTCAGAGCCTCCTGCAGGCGGTTGGTCTGGTTGTCCTCCCGAATGACCATGTTGTAGCTGCTGCTGGCCACCACGAAGATGATGGCAGTCACATCTTTAGCACGAGAAAGCAAGGCAACATGTGTCAGAAGCACAACGATCCTTCACAAGGACAAAAGCAGAAAGTACTCAGACAGGAGAGAAGAAGCTTCCCTACCATTGAAGCATTGAATCCATTTGCGGCGCTCGTCACGCTGGCCGCCCACGTCAAACATGCTGTAAGAGAAAGGACCCCTGGTTACTCTAAAGGGCTAGACACCATTATCTCAGTTTATCAGAAAGACAACCCATTCACTTACTGGAAGTTGACTTTGTCCACCTGGAACTTGGTCTCAAAGATTCCAGAAGTCAGGACACGGCAGCGAAGCAGGTCCTAAAACATAACCAAGGTCAATGGGTCTCACCAAAGCCAACCGAAATGTTAAAAATCGCCAATCTAGGGCAAAACTCTTGAAAGCTTGAGAACGTGTGTACCTGATCGCTGGGGACATAGTCGTCCTGCTTGATGACATCAATCTTGTCCAGGAAGCTGGGAGGGAAAGGACACAGGGGGGTGTTGAGTGTGATGCCAATTTGCCCAATATCCCCGCCTCTATACCAAGTCAAGCTAATGGAAATGATCACCCCGCAGTTAAATCAATGGGAATTCTGTTTGTATTGGTTACATTGATGACTTGAAGCTTATACCTTAGAGCGGTTAGAGCAAATGGAATTGAAGATAAATGTATTTTCTGACCAGTAGATCTGGGAACCAGGACTGGGCTCCCAGGACCCCTGGCCTACAGCTGCAGTCTGAAGTCAGGCCTAGCAGACTGTGTGCCTTTGATAATATCTAAGTAAAAACATTTTAAATGTAAAATTGTTTGGCTTTGACTAAATCAGCGGGTAATTTGAAAATGGTATACTTTCGCATCTCTCACTTTGGGTTTCCTCCACAAGCGGATGAAAGTGAAATGTCTGAGTTACTCAGAAGGGGTATCCCTTCCTCCTACCTTTTAAGAACCTCGATAATGAAAGAGAACAAAAGAGGTTGACACACAGGGGCCCTTTGTGCCCTGACCACACTGAACAGGAAACACACACAGTGTTTCCTTCCGGTCTGTTTGGTCCATGAAATAGAACAGTCCAGATATGAAATTTGTAGTTTTTAAAAAAACCTCAGGGCCACCCAGGTTATGAGTCCTGACAGGGCAGGGAGCAGGCACAGGGGGCTGGGGTCTCAGGGACTCCCATTAATGGTCACTCTCTCCCCAGCTGAACTTACTGCTTTTGTGTTGCTCAACTAGATACACCGTTAGGAAAAATAACTTTTGAAAGATTGGATTAATTTAATTAACATTTAGTTAAACCGAGCGTTTTGTGTTTTTTGGGGGGGAGTCGGGTGGGGGGTGGTTGGAAGTGCTGCAAGTGCCTAATCAGAAAAGAAAGTCCAAAGGGGGGAAAGTCTATTTAAAGAAGTTCTGTAAGTTTCCCCCTTCCTTTTTACCAGGTTAGAGTGAGTCTGGCTGGAAGGATACACTAACTTGCCCAATCAGTCTTACATTACAGCACCAATCCAGAAATAGCTCCCCAGCCGCCCTGGCCTCCAGCGTGTTGCCATGGCAACAGAACCACAGTTCTATAAATAGCTCAGCAGCACCAAATCTTGTGAGAGAGACTGCTGGAGCAGGGCCAGGCCAAACCCCAGCTCAACAAATAAAAATAGGCAGCTTAAGAAATGGGCAAGGTACCACTACCTCAACTTTAACATAAAGGCAGTGGAGCAGAAGCTCACTGGTCAGTGCTAACCAGGGCTTCGGGGTCCTCCTCCAGGGAAGACGTTTTACAAGCTATGTCCTTTTTCCCGAGTTTCTTAAAACTTTCCATAAACTGGGGATGTTGCCACTTTCTTCTGAAATTGCAGGAGTACTTTAATGTTGCATTAAAAAAGAAAAACTTTGAGTGGGCGGGAAGAGGTCAATGGGGGAAAAAGGAGACATATGTAAAACTTTCAACAATAAAGAATTAAATAAAAGAAAAAAAAGAAAAACTGTAAGATGGTGGAAGATTAAAAAAACACAACAAAGCAGCCTAAACTGCTATTAATGCGGCTGCCCCGCCTCGGCGGGCCCGTACCTGTCCTCTGACTTGGATCCAGGGCACAACCAGAAACAATTCCAGGATTTCCATTTGTTTTTCGTTACTATAATTAGCACTTCCAGCTTTTAGTTCAAACTTTTGGGGAAATCAGGGGCTTTGTTGAAGAAGGGGCGGGGGTCGCAGGGACTGGCCAAGATGGGACTGTTTTTCTGTCCGTTGTGAAAATATACAAACTTGTTTGTCTATTAAACCCTTTGCAATAGCAAAGCAATTATCAGCCACCAAGGAGGGGAGTGGGGGGGAGGGTGGAAGGTGGGCGGCGGCGTCATTTTGTCATGTTTTAAATTATAGCAATAAAGTAAAATATTTTTACTTTATCCAAAGTGTGAGAGCTGCCCTGTCTGCCTAATGCCTGGAGATCAAGCCAATTAATGGCTTCAAGCTAATTAATTATAAATGTCGCCTTATTGCTAATAATGATCATTTGAACAGGCATTAATTATTTATATAAAATAATGTCACTGCACTAAAAAGTGCAATTAAGGGCTTTGAAAGCAAGTGACTGAGAAGCACTCTGCGTGCGGGGCGGGCAGCTGGCCGGCCACCACCAGCAGGGCTCACTGACAAGCGACTTGGTGTGGACTGTGACCACTTCCTCAGTGTGTGCCCGTGTCGTGCTGATGTGGCGAGGTCACTTACTACTGGGCACAGTCGATCAGCTGGTACTCGTTGGAGCGCTCATAGCAGGCTCGGACGCCCTCGTCCTCCCACAGAGCCTTGGCGTGCTCGTAGAATTCCTGCAGGGGGCACAAGAGAGGCTGTCAGGGGCGGAGCCTGCACCCAGGGGCCCGGCAGATTAAGGGTGACACAACTCATGGCTCTTTCTCTCATAGATTTTTGGTGTGACGGGTACTTGTGGGGACGGGAGAGCCAAGATTTACAAGGGGTGACAGAATTTTGCTCATTCATCTTGAGCCATGCCCTAGTGATTCTTAGTGGTTTTTTGTTTTTATTTATTTTTTCATATATTTTTATTGATTTCAGAGAGGAAGGGAGAGAGAGACATCAATAATGAGAGACAATCATTGATCGGCTGCCTCCTGCACGCCCCCTACAGGGGATCAAGCCTGCAACCCGGGCATGTGTGCCCTTGACTGGAATGAACCCGGACTTTCAGTCCGCAGGCCGACGCTCTATCCACTGAGCAAACCAGCCAGGACAACTGTTTTTTTGTTTTTAAACATTAAGGATCCTTATGGAATTAACTCTTTCCTAAGAATCACGGAGATGTGTTCGGCAGGACAAGGTGTGGCTCTGCTGCAGGGGAGCCTGTGTCCCCTGGAGCTCTGTGTACCCCTTGGGGAGGCGCGAAGCACTGGGGGCGGGGCAAGGCTTACGGGAGGGAAATCAAAGTCGGGCACGTTCATCACACTCAGAATGTAGTCCACGCGGAACTGGTTCTCGGGGTTGGCCAGCTCCACGGGCGGCACCAGGTTGCTCATGGCGGCCACAATGGTCTGCAAGGGATTTAGCAGGCGGTCAGGGGCAGTTCTGTCTGACAGGGGGGCTAACAGAACGAGAAAGAACCGAGCACATACTTCAATGGCCTCCTTCAGGTTGTTTTTGATGTCCTGCACTTTGGTGGCCTTCTCACTACAGTGGGATTGAAAAGGAAAAAAAAATCATATGGCATCATGTTGCCTAACGGGGCCGTTTTAGCCAAGACATTCCACTAAGGATAGTATTCTGTTCTTGAAGGAGTGGGTGGGGGGTCCCGAATAAAGGTGGTCTCAAATGGCCACCTCCCAGGTCTGTCTGGAGGCCATGCCCAATTGGGCTCCATCAGCAAATTGGCATCTAGGTAGTGACCAAGGCCTACTGTACCAGAGGTTGTACCCTGTCCATTACTCCCCTCATATGTGGTCCTGTTTGCTCCAAGCCCCCGCCACACACTAGCGCGGCCTCAGTGTTAGCATCTCTGCTTGGGGTGGGGGCGGGCGGGGGGGGGGGGTGCGGGGCGGGCATTGTGTGGCCAGGGAGAAAGTTTCATGGTTCCACTTGGGGCTTCCTCCCCTCTGGCAGTGGCTGAACGAGGTGGCCCGTTATTCCCACCTCAGGGCTTTTGCAGCCCTGGCCCTTGACTGGCTGGCTTGATTGTTTACTTATTTAAATAGTCACTGTGTCTGCCACTGCAGCCAACAGCAATGATTGGTTGCTAGTGCCGAGCCTCTGATGCGGACAGGATGGAGACTGCCCCAGAAGTCTTTTATGACCCGGGACTTTTGCATTGGGGGGCGGGACAGAAGTTAGAAGCCTTGTTGCTTTACACTCTTGGTTTTAATTTGGACCTACATAATGGTCTTATGGAATTAACTCTTCCCTAAGAATCACGGAGCTGTGTTCCTCAGGACACAGGTGTGCCTCTGCCACAGGTGAGCCTGTCACCTGGAGCTCTGTGTACCCCAAGGGGAGGGGCAAAGCACACTGCAGGGCGGGGCAAAGCCATGGGAGGGAAATCAATGTGTGGAATGATCCCGTCCTCCCTCGCTGGTAAAGGCCACGCCCTTGGGCTTCTGGGTACCCTCCCCCAACCCCCCTGCAGAGCCTGCACCCCATCAGGTCCATTAAAATGCTATCTTTCCAAAACTGCCCTTCACTGGAGGCTGGGCCCGTGTGCTTTTAGGGGAAAGGGCCCCTAGCTTGAGGCATAAGTCGTGCCAGGTCCATTGCCCCAACCCTGCCTCTGGGCTTGGGGGGCAGGTCTGGAACCAAACACACCTGTGTATTAGACCCAGGGACATGACTGAGGAGGAAACTGAGGCCGAGAGGGAGTCTGAGTCCCGCAGAAGGGACAGAGCTTATTTCTCCTGCTGTAACTTTTAAAAGAATCTCTTGAGATTTCCTATCTTTGAAGCCTTCACCTGGTTGCCTCGCCCAGAGTCAGGGGATGGAGGTGGTGACCCCTCAGGAGAGGACAGAACACGAACAGAGGAAACGCAAAGGGGTTAATAGCAGCCAGTCCGCCAGTTAGTGTGGGAGGGAGGGGCCTGGGGCAGGGAGCTGAGGGGGCCGTGTGCTCATCTGCCAACAGCCTGCCCCCAAGAACGCGGTCTTGTCTGCCTTGCTATATTCCCTGGTCATTTGCATGTGAGGGCTGGACTCTCATCTTGAATGAGCTCATGGTGCCCCCTCCCCAGAGTCACCCCCTTCCTGTTCAGTTGGCCTTGGAGACCCTGCTCCTCACAGGGAGGGGCTGCGCGCGCAGCGGCCTGGGGGGCGGGGCCGTGAGCCTGAGCTGCACTCTGGGGGCCTCTGGGGGCCGTGACGCGGGGAGGGGGGCCCGGGCCGCTGGCCCACCCTGCAGGGAGGGGACTGGGAGTACTGAGCCCTCTGTGTTTGTGCAACTTGAAGCTCGTTCCTGCAACCAGGATGTCCAGACTCGGGGTACGGTATGCAGACGTCAGCGCTTTAACAGGACGTGTTTGACACCCCCGCCCCCCGGCTTATTTAGGGGTTCAAGCTCACCTAAGACCCCACAGGACAAATTCACTTCTGTCCATTAGAAACAGGCCCCATCTCCATGGCAACGAGAGCCAGGACCCCTCCTTTGGTGTCACAGTAATTAAAACGAGCTGTCGGGGGACTAAGGCGGGACGCCCAGAGCCGGAGAGCACGGTCTCCAGGGCCAGGCTCACTCAGCTCCATTTCCGGGTTAAGGAGTGGTATGATAATTGGGAAAGTTCCCGCCTGAAAATACGGATATTTTGAGAACGTGTTCAGTCTTCTGCGTATGTGAGTGGATGTGGGAGTGTATCAGTATAAGGCCGCTAAAATAGGAATCCGAAACCTAATTCGGGTGCATAACGCTCCAACATCAAAGGCTGCCATCCGAGCAATTACTATGTAGACGGAGCTATTACACTGGGGGCTGGCAGGCTCTGCCGTCACCCTCACTATCGCTTAATGAGCTGAGCTCGATGGCAAGACTCGGAGTAAAACTCCTCGGTGGCTCCTTTCCAGGTGACACTCAAACTCTGGGGCTGAAGGACGGGGGCCATGGCCGCTCCCCGCCCCCATGAAGGAGCAGAGGGCTTGGCTCAGGTCCTAAGGTCCCCCCTCCCCCCTCCTCCCCGGGCCTCAGTGGTGGGGGTTCTCCATCTTTGTGTTTTATGGGGACAGACAGACAAAAGAAGAGAGACAGAAGACAGACAGGGACTGCGGAGACATGCAGAGAAGTTTTATTTATCACTTATGTTAATATTGTATTTACTGCAGAACAGTCACAGAGAAGAGCAGGCAAGGGTTAGAGGGCAGGGTTAGGCCAGCATCTAGCACACAGTTGTTCTGTAAGGACTTGTCACTACTTCTCAAATGCCAACTTTTGGTACAGTAAACTGACAGAAGTCACTTGTTACATAGATGCCTATTTGGATGTCACACTACATTTTTAACAATTAAGGAGTCAATGTCTATTTGGATGTCACACTACATTTTGAACAATTAAAGAGTGAATGTCTATTTGGATGTCACACTGCATTTTGAACAATTCAGGAATGAATGTCTACTTTGATGTCACACTACATTTTGAACAATTAAGGAGTAAATGTCTACTTTGGATGTCACACTACATTTTGAACAATTAAGAATTTCATTCCATTTTTGTTGTTTTTGTGATTTTTGGTATTTTTCAATTTTTTTGTGATTTTGTATTTTTCAATTTTTTTGTTGTTTTTTTTTTCTCCCCTCAGTTATCTTTAGAGTTAGGTGTAGTCCCCCCTCCCCCCACCCCCTCCCCTCCTACCCCCCCTCCCCCCCACAACAGAATAGTATTCTTATTAGAAGTTCCTAAAACGGGTAATCCCAGCATGCAAGGGTGATAGGACAGTCGGGGGAAGGGGAAGAAGAGAAACCGTAGCCATCATCTAGGGGTAAAATATTCTAAAAGAAACAGATAACAAACATGTGTCAGTCACTTTGTCCCGCCCCGCTTCTCCTTTGCCCCGCCCCTCCCAGCCACTTCTCCGAGATGTCCTAACTCAGTCCATGGCCCTGCATGGTCTCATGAGAAAGCTGCCGATGACAGCATGCTGAATGTGCAGGCACAGCTGGAGCAGGTTACCTGTCATGCATGCATGTGTGTGCTGGCATGTGATGGTGGTGGGGATGCAGGAAGTGAAGAAAAAAATAATTGGATAATGAATGAGGGGAAAGATGGATGCCATCGCTCATCTTCTGTTCTGCCCACTAGCTGACATACAGGCCTCGGATTAAAGTGATAACTTTTCAAGACCAGAGGCTTTTCGAGATCACTGAATGACTTATCCCCTCAGCCCACGTGCCAAGTACTTCTTTTTCCCAAATTAAGGAGGGCGTGGCACCTCATATTTTAAGAGGAAATTTTTCTCAGAGAGGTCCGAAATTTTAAAATCAGACCACCCACTGGGTGACGGAATTTAGTAGTTTTTTTTAAAAGTAGCAGATTCAAATGAAGAGCTGGGGGGGGGGGGGGCAGGTAGGGGCGGGGGACTGGACGGGATAGAACCATAAGGAAAAACAGCAATTCTCCAAATCCGAAACTGATGGTCTAAGGCTGGAAGCTGTAGCTCTCCCCCAGCTGGATCTAATTATACCTTAAGGATGGCCAACAGAAACCCCACAGCAGAACTGTTTTTGCATTTCACGTGCCATGAGATGAAGTTGTTTGTGTTGTTTGCAAATGTATATCAAGATGGATGATGGCCCCTGAATGATTTTTGCGTTCTTCCCGGGACTCTGCCCTCAGTTTCCCAATATGATCTTCATGTCTGTTTGTTTAAAAGTTTTTCTGTTTTTGAATGTGCCTACCCTTCGCTGTTGCTCCTGGCAGCCTGCGGGTCCTCTTCGCCGCCCCTTTTAAAGAGAGATTGAAAGCTCACCTAATCTGCAAGGCACTGCAATTTCACAAAATCCCCACCCAGCCTCTCTACATTCCTCAGCAAAGGGCCGCCATCCCCTTAATGCCCAGGTGGCCTTTTTGGCTAACGTGGAAGGTCTCCTGGGGCTGGGGGCCGTGGAGGGAGAATTCCACACCTTGGCTGCAGTATTAGCAGAGCCCTCTGGAGACTCTGGCCGGGACAGAAGGGACTGCTAATTATTTTCTTGTGCTTTCCCTACTGGTACATGCACCAGGGAGCCAGCGGTGACTTATCTCCATTCTCTGGAGAACACAGCAGTACCTGCGAGGTCCTCGAGCTCCCAGACCTCCATCCTCAGTGTTGTACCTGAACAGAGGCAGCGCACGGGTGACTTCCGCCTGTGACATCTGCCGCAACAGCAAGACCTCCCTTCCTGCAGCCCAGAAACTACCTATATGATGTTTTTATTTATGAATAACTGTTCCCCATAAATTGTCAGCAATTAAGACCATATATGGATTTCGAAAACCAAACCAAATAACAACCTTTCAAAACGCAGTCTTCCCGACTGGTGGGCACCCCACCCTGCAGGTCTGAGGGGCAGCCTGGCTAAGCGTCGGGGGTTTGTCATCGATTAGCTGATTAGCTCAGCCGGCACTGATGGCGGCTTCTTCTGCACTCAGTGTAAGGAAGTTAGCTGTGCGTTAGGGAAATCTGACTTTGACCTCTATTTCTGAAAGTCAGATTAGAATTACAAGTTACTCTACACAGGTAACCAGCACGCAGTCTGCGACAGTGAAGGCAAGTTGAATAGCTCAGCCAGCACTAAGGAAGCGCACATTTACTCACGGGGGGAGGGACAAGACCCCGCGCCCGGCGGCCCAGTTTCCTAGGGAATCCCTGGCTAAGAGGGAAACGGTCTTTGTTGCAATACCCCAGCAAGGAAAAGGGGAAAAAGAGGCTCCTTGGACAAGATAAAAATAAGGCTTCTAGACTCACACTAAGAATTCCCTGTATGTCACTTTCGCAGGCTAAATTTAACATTCTTGAGCATTACCTATGGCTTCCTCTACAAAGCAGGCAAACTGGGAACTCGCTTCCTCTTTTTAAAAAAAGAAAAGAGAGAAGTTCTGGTTTAAATGCCTGGACTACATTACAGACTGGCTCACTGAGGGAGGAAAATCCTTTCTCTAAAAATTAAAAATAAATAAAGAGGGCAATTAGAATTATAAAACTTTAAATTATTTTCAGGATGTCCGATCTTCCATCGGACAGAACTAAGGTAAACAGTGGCTGCCGCATCCCTTTAAAAACGGGAGCCGCGTAGTTTCAAACAAAATATTTATCTCGAGGGTCCGCAGGCGGCCGGCTAACCTGCCTCCGGAAACGCTCCCCCTTAAGTTGCGGGGAGGGGGGATTATGCAAGGTTTTTCTTTAAATGACAAATTCGTATAACTGGAAGTCTGTCTCCAGTTTGTTTGTTGACCGGTGGCCATTTCTGGGGGCAGGACTTTACTGAAGGGTGTGTAAGGAATTAAGAATTTCAGAACTGGCTTCTGTGAGAGAAGGCAGCTTGTGTAATTAACAGCATGTATGGGCGTATTGACGACTCACTGGGAGTCGGCCATAAAGTTGGTGAAACAGCCCATCCCACCAAACTCAAGGGGAAAGCCTAAAAAGCACCTCAACTGAAACATCCATTTGCATGATGTCATCCTTTTCTTACTCCCACCCTGACCGCTTGATCTAAGAAATTCTAGAATTTTCCATAAAGAGCTGCCTTCGGTGCAGTTTAATCTCTGAAAGGTGATAAAATTGTTTCCCTGGTACTCGGGGGACAGTAGGGCTTTTTTTACTGGAGTTTATGGGGTCTGCTTGCTTTTGCGTGTATAACTGAATTAAACTGTGCCCCCATGACTCGGTGGTCCCCCTTCCGAAACTAAAGGGAATGCAACGGAGGGGTCAACTTTCACCTGGGTTAGAGGGGCTGAACTGCTAACCAGCTAGTAATGGTGAACCAGTGCCCTCACACCAGGAAAACAGGCTGGTCAGCTTAGCTGGGGTCCGAGGCGCGCTCCCCTCCGCCTGCATGACCGTATTTTTTCCATCCCTCGCACATGCGTTTTCTTCTCATCTTTATTCACATCGCGGTTCCGTCACATTGCCTTAGACCACGATGCCTAAAAGGACGTTTCAAAGGCAAAAGTGCCCCTTGATCCAGCCAGAAGTACCTAACTCCTAGCCTTCCCATCATTTAAATATCCCCTCTATGTCCCTTCAGGCACAACTATCGATTTTTAAAGAGGAAAACGATGATTTGCCCATAACATTAATTCCAAGGGGGGGGGGGGGATGAGTACTTATTAACAAGGGCTGCCTCTTCTAACTTTGTTTTGTGAGAGAATATTATTGAAACAATGTTTCTTTAATAGTTAAAACACCACCCTGCCTTGGTGCATTGCGGTGAAATCTGCTGGGGGGGGGGGGGGGGGTGCGCTCTGCAGTGGTGGGTGTCACCTGACTAAGGGGTGGCCGCAGCCCGTGTCAGCCATGTTGGGGACCCACTGCACCAAAGCCTGCGGCAGACCTGTCCCGGGGCAGGGGAGGTGTTTTCTTCACATGACACTGGTGCCTACTGCTATTACTATTATGATCTGTTGCTGCAACAAATATTAAAAGGAGGGAGGGGGAAATCCCTAAAGAGCTCTCCCCAGGATTTTCTAATACGCAGGCTGAAAAAATTAAATGAACATTGGCTGCCCAGTCTCCCAAGCTACCTACACTTCCTCAAGGTTAGTGTCAGCGTGCCCCGCCCCGGTGCGGCTCAGACACTTACTCTCCGTTAAACCCATTAACATGCAGAATCCGCATTTGCTTGACAATGGTGCTTTTACCAGATTCTCCCGCACCTAGAAAAGGAAAGTGAGTCTCAGGTTATGAAGGAGGCATGTTACACACTCTGGGCGGTGAGAGGACTGCTGCTTTCCCGCAGAAGCAACACAGAGAAAAAAACAAACAAAATAAAGACGTGCACTTTTCATTGACATTTTGACGCATCAAAAATATAATAAATGTCCAACTTTGTGTCCCTGCAGTATTTCACCATTAGAATAACAAACAAGAATTAAAGGTTTGGGCTGTTTTAAAATTTGTGGGGTGGGGAAGCAAAGGGGGAGGAGAAAGTGATGCAATTTTGTCATTTGGGGGAGGGGGTGCGAGAAAATTGAAGTTCAAACTGTGAAACTGAATCCTTGAAACTGAGAATTCAGGTGAATTGCACACATGAATGTGTAGAGCCATATAATTCATTGTTTGTCAGATGCTTCATGGTTAAATACCCAGGGCCCACCACCAGTGCCCAGACACTGCAGTCTGACGCAGCACTTGCCTCCCAAGCACTGTCCCAAAGCAGATGCTCCCCGGGCAGGCCCCCCCCAACCCCCCTCGCCCAGGCTACTGAAAATTCAGTGCCTCAAACCGCAGCCTGGCATTTTACCCAACACCCCCCCCCCCTTCTCTCTGGATTCAGCAACCATGTTATACGGGAGGGGGGAGTGGTAGAAGACCACCAATTTTATCTTCTGGAAAAACACATTCTAATACCAAATATAGTGTTTGAGAACCACATTAACATGCAGCAACTCTAATAAGAGTTAAAAACTTTAATCGTAAAGAAAAATATACCTAGAAATCACTGCGTTTTCAAAGATGTCAAGCCCTTCCCAGTTAAAAGTAAGAAGGGTGACATATCACCATTTAAAATGACCTTACCTTTATAAGAATAGTGAAAAACCACATTTCCAGGCTAGAAGGAGGGCTGCTATTTTATTTTTTTTCATTTTATTTTTTGTAAATACACACCGTCCCACAAATAATGCTGTGTGAGACATTTTTTACCTTCTCTCACACAAACCTGTTGGGGGTTTTTTTTTTACCCCCCCCCCCCCCCGCCCCTTACTTTTCTTAATTGTTTTGTTTTACTTCCCAGAGAGTAAAGCAGTCCTCCTTCTCCTGCCTTTTCACAAGGCTGTAATCAGTACCTGGGAAAGTTAAAATGTTTCTAAAGAAACATTGATTTCAAAGCAAACACTCTATCTTAATGAGTCTCACTCTCATACATTAAAATATTAAAGGAATTATTAGGAGATTCCATGAAGAGAAAGCATAAAATTACTCAAGAATCTCCAATATTCTTATTTCAGAGGTGTTAGGATGCGTAATACTGCTTTTAGAGGCACGAAACAGATCTGTGCCTCAGTTTCCACGTATATGAAATAAGAGAATTGGGCTGAAAAAGTTTTTTTGTGGTACGTAATTCACTATTAAATTAAGATGGATTAAAGAGGACTCGGGACATCATTGTTTCCTCTTTTGGGGGGGGAGGAGGGGTATTTGGTGAGAATCACCTTAAAAATGCAAAATGTGTTGCACTAGCTAGGGCTGCAGACACCTGTGCCAGAGGCTATCAATAAATTGTGATAAAATGTAGCCATATAGGACATCTGGGGAAGGTGAGCACAGCAATGCAAGGTGTGTTCAAAAGTAACAGTCTCAAATTAAGTGGAGACTTTGTGATTATTGCACAAAGGTGTTAGAAATTTGAGGTACCATTAGCATATTTGTTTCAAATTAGCACTCAGGTAACGAGATAGCATCCAAGGAAAAGATTCTAGACTTTTCCAGGCTTATACTTTGAAATCAAGTTTATGCATATTATTCTTCACATAGTATAATTCTGCCTTTATTAGTTTTAAATAAGACCTCAACATATATATCATTTAATTACTGAGACTGCAAGTGCACAAACACGAAAAAGACTTATTTACACTTAATAATTTTCTGCTTTATATAAACCTGGACTCAGGAGAACAAAGACATAACCCATCCAAACAAGCAAAGCAAACACCACAAAGAAAAGCAGCCTTTACACTTTATTCTTTATAACTAAGCTGTTTTGTTGAAGTGTGACCATGAACTAGGTCTTAACCTACCAAATTCACCAGTTCAGATAACCAAATTACCGAGGAAGTGGAAAACTTCCATACTAATTAATGCTTGTGTAATTATTCTGGTCATTTCACCACTTTTTTTAAAATGCTTTTTTTGTTTTATTTTAACTCCCCCCCCTCCCCAAAGCAGCACCTTTAAGAAAAAAGGAGGAAAGGTCATCTCAAATTCCACCCCCCTTTTTGGCCGAAGTAAAAACCGCAATCAAGAGAGAAAACCCAGAACCAAACAACCAAATGTCACTTGACAAACAACTAATTAACGTCTTTTCATCTCCTCCACCTGGAAAAAGGGTCTCCTTAAAGCGCACTCGACCCCCTCCCCCCTTGAAAAGGACAAAAACGCCATTTCCAGACCCAGAAGCCATTTACAGACAAATGTCATTTTCCAGTTCTGATTTGTGAATTGCCCCCCCCCCCCTTTTCCACAAAGTACTCTCAATGTGGAGGACTAACAGGAAAATATGTGTGTTAATGGTTTATTGGGGGGAGGCGATGCTGCTGGGGGGTGGGGGGTGAGGGCAGCTGCTACAATTAATTCTCTTCTTTGCTTTTTAAAAAGCCTGCATGTCTGGAAGGGGAAAAAAGGTCATACTGTAAAAATGACGTGTCATTTGGCTTCACTGGGCACTTAGCGTACCAACTCCATTTTTTTTTTTTTTAATTTGATTCTCCTTCCCTTCTTTCCACGGCCGGGCCGGGCCCAGGACACGTCTGCTCCGCGCACAGTGTGTCCGGCCTGAAACGCACCAAGTCGCGCCCAGCGCCGCCGCTCTCCCTCCTCCCCCACCCCCACTCCGGCGCCACGACTCGCCCGCGCCCCCTCCCCCTCCCGCACCACCTTTACACTCGGAACCCTTCCGAGGGGCTGATGTCACCCGCCCCCCCTCCTCGGCCACTTCCCCCGCCAAAGCCTCCCTTTGGGGAGGCCGTTTAGGCCACTGCGGCCCCCCCCCCCGCTCCTTCTGGCCCCTCTTTCTTTCTCCCCTTCCCTCTCCGAACAAATCACACACCCCACGGAGGCGGGTCCCCCTCCTTCTGCCCGCCACCCCATTTCCTGTCCCCGAAACCCTTTTTGTCGCAGTCTCCCGAGCCCGGTGGGGCTCCCCCTCCCCCTTCCCAACAAGCACCCAAGTCCCCGGCGTCGTGTAGGCCTCGCGGAAAGAGAAAAGAGCGAGGGGGGAGGGCAGAGAGAAGGAAAGAGCGAGAGCCGGCCAGGGGAGGGGGACCCGCGCCCGCCTCGCCAAGCCCCCCGACCCCATTTTGAGCCCCGCCCGCCGATTCTGCGCCCCGGGGTCCCCCTTCCGGCCTCGTCCCCAGAGACAGAGCCCTCGGGCGGGCCACGGGCTCGGGAGCGCGCGCCCGGGCGGGGGACGGGCTCGGCGCGCGCGGCCTGCGGGGCGCCCCGAGGGGCTCCCGAGCCGGGCCGGGCCGGCGCCCCCCGCCCCGCCCTTACCCAGCAGCAGCAGGCGGTGCGTGGCCCGGTAGACCTGCTTGTCCTTCTGCAGTTGCTTCTCGATCTTTTTGTTGGCCTCGCGCTGCGCCTTCTCCTCGTTGCGCTGGTCCTCGGTCTTACTGTTTCCGAGACAGCCCATGGCGGCGGCGGCGGGCACGGGGCGCGGCCGGCTGCGGCGGGTCGGGCTCGGGCGGCCTCAGGCGGGCCGAGAGGGCTGGGGCAGCGCCGGGCGGGCGGGCCGGGCGCGGGCTCGGCTCCTCGGGGAGGAGCGCGCGGGGCGGACTGCGAGCCGCACGGGGAGGGTGGTGTCGGTCGGACGGAGGGGAACGAGCCGCTCCCCGCCCCTCGAGCCGAAGCCAAAGGGGCTGATGGCCGCTCCGGGCCGAGGCGGACCAGAGCAGGAGCTGCGGGAGCTGCTGCCGCCGCTGCCGCCGCCGCCGCTCTTATTGCCTCGGCCCGGGCCCGCCGCCCCTACCCAAAAGGGCCCCGGCGGGCGGGGGGAAGCGGGGGGAGAAGGAGGCGGCGGCGAGGGGGGTGGAAGGAGGAGGAGGAGGGATGAGGAGCAGCCGCGGCAGCAGCCGCGGCGGCGGGGAGGGCGGGAGCTGGCGGAGGGAGGCGCCCCCCGGGTGCCCGGGGAGGGGGTCCCTCCGCCCGCACCCGGCCGGGACGGGACCGGACAGGCCGGGGAGCCGCCCCCTCGCCCCCCGGGCTTGGGCCCCCAACGGGCGGGCAGCGGGGGGAGAGGGGGCGGCCCTGAGCCAGTGACGACCCCTCGCACGACGCCAACGCTCCACCCCCCAGGCCGCGTAGCCTGGCGGCCCCCGAGGCCGCCGCCCCCCTCCTCCCGCAGGCGCCGCCGAGGGGCCGGGGTGGGCGGAAGGGGAGGGAGCACGAGCCAGAGCCCGGACTTCGGAAAATTTTCTGAGAGAGAGAGAGGCACAGAGAGAGCGGAGCGGAGTGGAAAAGCTGGGCGAGCACGAACCAAAGCACAGAGCAACCGAAAAGGAAAATGTGTTCACACACACACACAAACTTAATAAAACTCCACACTGACAGCGATGGTGGTGGTGATGGTGGTGTCGTGGTGGTGGTGGCGGGGGTGGGGGGCGGGGGGGGGACTAGATGAGCCTCTCCCCGCGCCCCCGGCGTCGGGCGCCGTGGCCCGAGCCGAAGGACCCCGTGGCCCCGGGGCGCCCGCGGCCTCTGCGCTGGGTGCGGCCACCCCAGTAGGAGAAGAAGGCGCAGCCCAGGAACATTCTGAAGCAGCAGGTCGCCCCAAACACGAAGCCACAGCCACGGCCATGCTCCGTGCGCTTCTGGAGCAGGAAGTTGAGCACCCACGAGGGGCTGCGCACGGAGAACATCAGAAAAACCACGAGGGGCAGGTGGGCGCTCAGCTCGCTGGACTTCGGTGACCCTGGCTGCCACGCGACGCCCCCCACGCGGG